TTAATAACAAAAAAAAAAACAAAAAAAAAACAAAAATAATTAATTAAAAGGTCTGGTAATCTTAGTATAGTAGTTAGATTACTAGACTACTATGTAAGAGATCTAAAGTTCAAATTCTTCTATCAACAAATTTGAATAATTATTCAAATTTTTGTACTTAACTTATAATAAACTCTGTTCATTTCTGAGATATAACCCTGTAAATTATATTGCACTAATATCAATCAGATATTGAAAGTATAACACAATGTTCAAGTTATATTATATAATTAAATCTTGATAGAATCTATAGACAAAGAATCTGTATAGTAGAAATCTTGAGTCTAGTGAATTAGTACAGATTTTAATAGTTATATTAGTTAATATTTGATCTAGTAAAAAACTTAAGTATAAAAGATATAGATCGAATAAATACAAGTAAATCTATTGCATAATGTAGCCTAATGTCTTATATTAGTAGCAATATCAACTTGGCTTAGTAGCTAATTAGATTAGAAGAATCTACTTTGTAAAATATCTGACTAGAATCTTAGAAGATTATATCTAGTAAAAAGCTATAGCAGGAACTAGGTTTATACAAATATTAATAAAAGTTTAATTTAGATGAATCTATAAAATAAGCATATGATTACTCTAGTAAGAATTACTTCTAAGGTTAACCAGAGCTTTGCAGCTTACAATATATTGAGCAAATATATTCTAAGAAGATCTAAGTTATATGATAATAGATCTACAAACAAGTTAGCTAGCTTAAGCAATTAGATATAATAGTAATATTAGTTTAAGATAGAGAAAAGAGTTAATAATCAGAGTGTTTAAATAGTAACTCACAAGCAGGTTGTAGATATAGTAGCATAGTATATAACCAACAAATAATTAATTATCTGTATAGCAGACTACTTAAATTAGATAACGAATAAAATTGTATATGTAGTTTGTTATATTCTTATCATATAACTATAAAACCTTAGAAGACTATTCTTGTAGTAGCTCTATAATAACAAACTAATAAAATCTAATCAGTCAAAGAAGTAGTTTTAATAACAAAAAAAAAAAAAAAAAAAAAAAAAATTAAACTTAACAAATTTTTTTTTGAATTTTTTTTGAATTCAGCAGTTAGGCTACAACTTTATTTGAAATTTTTGTAATACAAAAACCAATAAAAGACTAATCATAAGCTCTATATATAGCAATATTTTCTGTTTTCTAAAGTGTAGCTTCATCAGTTTTTATACAGACCTGTGAATGACCTGCTATAATGAGCATTTCTCTTCCTTTACTCTCTTATATATTCCAATATTTTGATAGTAAAGATAATGATGTAGAACTCATAGCCCGTTCTGACTGCAATATTAAGTTTCTAATTATCCCTTCTAAAAGTCTACTTTGAAAAAAAAATAAAGAAAAACCTAGCTATAACAATAAGAACTAAAAATAAAAATTGCACAGATTTAAGTAATTACAATCTATGATTATTATCTACCTAAGTAAAAACCTACTACAAGAAAAAATACTAATGTAGAAGTAATAAAAAGAAAATGAAAAGAAACAAACAAAGATAAAAAAGAAAATGATTATCTTTTAGTCTGAACTAGGAACAAAAATATTATGTTATAACAATATAAGCATATCTTGTATAATTTCTAACTGAACACTATCTTTTGATTAATTTGTCTTGTATTTTAGCTGAATTTTTTAGAAACTGGATATATGTAGTTACTTATATGTAGCACAACAAAGATTTAAACAGACCAATTTGTTATGTGGTTGCTTTCTCCATGATAATTCAAAAATAGTAAGAATAAACAAAGATCATTATTTATAAGAAGAAACTCAATTTCTATTTTTCAAAAGAGAAAAAAGAAAAAAAAGAAAAAATCACAGAACTTTAATATAAGGAGTTTATTTAGATAAAACCAAAAATCATAAGCCAGAAGAGAGAGTGTATTGTTACTTAACCCAGTTCAAGTAGTTTGGTGAGTTTATCTGCAATATTTCTACAAGTTATCTATTAGGTCAAGAAAAAACTAAGACTCACTAAGGTTAGTAGCAAAGCTTTAGTAGGCCTCTTATAAAACTAGTGGTAATAGTTCAAAAACTATACTCTGCTTAGTTTAGGATATTATCCCTTATGCTGTTCAATATTTTTTTCTTACTAGATAGTTAGAGTTATTTCTTAGTCTTTTTCTGTTTACTCTATTTCAGTTCTAGTGATCATCAGAAAGAGTTGATTAGTTTTTGAATTAAACTTAACAAATAAAAAATTTAATAAACTTTATATATTATATAATTTTTTTATTTTTTATTTTTTTTACTTTATTCAAATACTATCAGCTAACTTTATTAATTTCTTAATTATAGAATGTGATATATATTATAAGAGTACAACTAGCTATACATATAATTTTAGGTTATCTAATTTAAGTAGTTCATTTAAAAGTTCTATATTAGCTACTATATCTAAAATTTCTTAGAAGATTTTCTATTTAAACTCTTTAGCTTTATCTTACTTATCATATTTATTACTTGTTAAGTTAATTCAAACTCTATACTACTTTACTTTAGGAGATATCTAACTAATATATATCATAAACTAACTATACTATACTATATCCTAATCTAGTTTACATATATCCTTATTTGATATTTGTACAAATTTAATTTTAGCTATAACTCTTCATTAGATTAGATTTTTGTATTCTTCTGAATATTTCAGTGATAGATTCTTTCAATCTAATTAGCTATCAAGCCAAGTTAGTATTGTTATAATACTTAATATTATGAATTTACTCATACTTACTCAATCTATATTTTCATATTTAGAAATCTTTGTCAGATCAAGTATTAACTGATATAACTATTAAAATTTATACTACTTTATCTAACTCTAGATTTCTACTATATAGATTCTTTACCTATAGATCTTTTTTTTTTTATTTTTTTTTTATTTTTTTTATTTTTTATTTTTAAGGTGGCTTATATTGTTGAGTGAATTTTATTAGTTTGATATATGAGATTCTACATGAGGTTCTTTTATAGTTTGTAATTACATAAAGAGTGTATAGTAAGAGGAGGGACAGAAATTAGGTAATTTTAATTTACTATAGAGCTCCTCCTCTCACCTCCCACCTGACTATATATTATAGTATATTCTATAATTAATATAATATTTGACTTGACTGAACTTCTAACCTCCTACTTCCCTAAGAAATTAGCTGATTTCTGTTCCTCCCCTAAGCCACATATACAACTTTAGTTATTGTCTAATTTAAGTAGTTTGCTATACAGGTAATAGACCATCTATTAGTACTATACTATACTGCTATACCTGTAACTTGCTTGTGAGTTATCTATTTAAATACTCTGTTCAACTAATCTATATCATTACAAAATAGCATTATTGTAATATTTAACTGCTTAAGCTAGCTAGCTTGTTGCAGATTTATTTATTGACTTCAGCTTAGATCCTCTTAAGATACATATTGTTCAACTTATTATGAGTATGCAGAGCTTTAGTTAATCTCGAAGCAAACCTACTAGAGCAGCTTATACTTATTTCATGAACTCTCTTAGCTTAGACTCTTGTAGATATTTGTATAACTTTAGTTTCTGCTATAGCTCTCTGCTAGTATTCATATTCTCCCTTTTAAAATACTTCATGAAACAGATCCTTCTAATTTAGTTAGCTACTAAACCAAGTTGGTATTGCTAATTCTCTACTATGAATTGAACTTATTTGTATCTATCTCAATTCATGTTTTCTTAGTAATATTTCTTATTGAATTAAGTGTTAGCTAGTATGACTATTGAAAGCTATACTATTTTATCAACTTTGGATTTCTACCATGTAGGTCTTCTGTCTGTAGATCCTATCAAGATTTCTTCATGTAACATTATGCTATACTTCTAATTTTCGATTAACTTAGTGTAACTTAATTTACAATATTATAACTCCAGAAATGAATAGAGTTTACTATAAGTTAGATACAAAGATCTGAGTAATTATTCAAATTCGTCAATAGTAAGATTTGAATCCCAGACCTCTTGTATAGCAATCTGGTAATCTAACTATTACACTAAGATTATTAGACCTTCTACCTATAGATCTTATCTTGATTTATTTATATAATACAACTCTAATATTTTGTTACGTTTTTAATATCTGATTAATATTAGTACAATATGATTTACAAAATTACAACTCTTAGAAATGAACAAAGTTTACTATAAATTAGATACAAGATTTGAAAAATTATTCAAATTGTCAAGAATAGGATTTGAATCCCAAACTTATTGCATGATGATTTAATAATCTATCTACTATACTAGATCATTAGACTTTATATATTATATAATTAAAATTTTATTTCTATATAAATCCAATTTACCAAATCTTATAAAAAATTATGTAAAATTACAATCTTATTAGGTATATCTTAATTCTAATCATAATTTCTAATACCGAGTCAAACTAATTCTTAATACCGGGCCAACTAATCCTTAATGCCGAGCCTAACTAATTCTTAATGCCGGCCCAACTAACTCTTAATTCCTAGCCTAATTAATTCTTAATGCCGGCCAAACTAACTCTTAATGTTGGCCTACTTTAGCCGCATTAGCCAGCTGACCATCAGTTAAAACACTACCCAACCAGAAAAAAAATTCTGGTTACACAACATTTGTACTACGGCGTTGGTCAGAATGTAGTACAAATGTTGTGTAACCGGAATTTTTTTTCTGGTTGGGGTAGTTTCCTATATCCTTGATTTTATTGGCTAATAATCATGCATGGATCGACCAATCATATAGTTAACTTCAAGTTTAGAATTTCAAAAATCTTCGTAATCTATCTCGTCGAAATGACACAAATTAACAGGTAGAATGGTGTAGTCAAGTATAATTCTTATTAAAACATATAATCTAATTTATTTTAAATATTCAGAATTGAAACTGACGAGCAGTTCCCGTACCCAAATGAGCATTCAAATATCGTAACAATTATGAATGCTCTTTCCACTCCAATTACCTATGAAGGAAAAATGCAAGATAATATATCTACAAAAATGTTCATGTCTATCTGTTATAATTTGCGGCCATCCGATCTTCTTGCGATGGCGTGTGTATGTAAAGATTTCAAAAATATATTGGACGAGAATATTAATCCATTAGCTGGAGAAATATGGTGTATTTCTAGAAATCGGTTCACTATTTTTAAAGATAAAGATCCTCCTTTAGGAATTAATCAGCAAACTTTCGCAAGGTTATTAACTTTTAAAAATGGTTGTCAGTTTTGTAAAACTGATGAGAGAACCCCCACTGTGTATTGGGTTCCTGGTGTTCGCTCTTGCAGGGATTGTATGTTCCAAAGAACATTTAGGTAGTTTTGATTTACTATTTTATATATTGTTTAATAGTGTTTCGTTATTTAATTAAATTTTTTTTATTTATTAATATTAATATTTATTAGTTCTCGTGTATTTCAAGATACTTTTAAACTTGATAACGAAATTCTCGGACTTATTGTACCTGTAATACCTGAATTAAATTTACCAGTTACTAAAAATAAATTATCTTATTATTGGGTTAGTCATGTCAAGAACACTATTGCATTTCTTATGGATGCTGATGCTAATACTCGACTCAAATTGAATAATCTGAGAATAAATATTGAAAACATTTATAAAGAAGCTCAACATTATCATGAATGGACCAATAATTTATATCAATCACAAGTTAGAGATCAAGGATTACTTTTTGAAAGGTTACTTGCTGATTTCGATAAAGAAACATCTTTAATGCTACAAAATGATAAAGAATATAAAAAATTGGTGTCAATGATACGATCCAATCCTTTTTTGCTGGAAGACTGGCAGAAATATAAAATAAGAATTTTTCAAATTGTACAAAGAATTTCATGTGAAGAATATGTTCAGGAAGAATCATCGGCCACCGCCAAACGAAAATCGGTTGACACCAACATTCAACAAGGAACTGTTAAAAGGCCTAAATCAAATGGTCAATGGAGTCAAGATCCAATGAGTCCAAATTCAATTCTTAGAAGGCGAACTAGAGTTATGAAACGTTTAAGGAAATTAACTTACGGTACTGTTCAAAAGTCACCAGAGGAATCTCTAATAAGCATCCGTGACCCACTGTATGCATATTTGTCTATGTGCCCGAGCTTCTTAAATCCACCTATAATTGATGAATTAGAATATTCTAATGAGTTTTTAGAAGGAATCCTTATACCAACTCTCAAAAGAGAAGCAGAACAACTTTGCGCGGATAGAATACCACCACCACCTTATTTACTTGATACGGAGGGTGCATTAGAACTTGGTCTCGGACATGTCCCAGTTTTTGGGTGTCTTATTTGTACTGGAATTGTTCCAGGTACTTTTAAAAGGCTTAAGAAGCACGTTAAAGCTTTTCATAAAATTGATGATAATGCTGAGAGGGTGATCTCAGTGAATTGTGATGCAATGATTACATATATGCATCATGCATTTATTAAAAAGGATTCTTCTAGAAAGAAGAGGAAAGATAATAATTAGTTTGTAGCAATACGAATGTGAGATGTGAGTTATATAATTTATTTCTATTTGAATTTAAAAAAAAGATATTTGAGATTTTTTTGATAAATCTAGTTATTAGTTATCCGCGGGTAGAGACACGGAAAAATTGTTTTTATTATTTCGTAAAAATTTATAATTAAGGCCAAAATAACTTAAAAAATCAATTCCAGAAGAAAACCAGAATTTGATTTTTTAAAAGTAAAAGAAAACAAAATTAAAATTCGTTATATGGGGAGAGTAGAAATCAAGCCAATTTTTTTTTTATTGAAATTTTAAGAAATTTACAAACCTATTCAAAAAGTTAAAAAAAAAAAAATTTAGAAAAAATTTGCTTGATTCAACAGAAATTATAATTAAACTGGTGAAAAAAGTTTGTTATATCCAGCTAGATTTGTCTTCTAATAAATTCACTATGCATTTAACAAAGATAATAAAATTGTTATATCTACCTAACGTGAAATATAAAACCAAGTATTCTAAATTAATGCTAGTAAATTAAATTTTAACTATTCTTTTCAAGCCAAGAACTTATCTTCTTTTGATCTCTTTTTATATAATATTATCCTTCTTATGAGGACGTTTTTTCACTAATGTTAATTCCTCATGATTAGGGATGTTAATCGGTCTTTTGGGACCGAATCCTAACCGGTCCTTACAAGGACTGGTCCTTAAATCACATGAAAACACAATACATTTTATAGGTCTTGGTGAATTATTATAACAATACAAAATTAATTTGATTGGATGGACTTATTCGATAGATTCAATTTAGGATCTGATACTGGATCATTGAACCTAGCTGCCGCACAAAAAATGCGCGGATGATCCTCGATTTTGATTGGCTAACGGCCGTAGATCTGCAAAATTTTGGTCCGCATTACATCATTGTTTACTCAATTCTGGCCGGAATTAACTTTTTAACTTTTTCATTCTAAAAATATAAATTTTCAAAGAAATAGGCCCGCGCTATGTTAAAATCAGCCCAGGAACAATTTTCACTTAATACGCAGTAGTGATTTCATTAGTAAAATTTTGAGTAATTCTAGCCAAAATTTTTGATCGTCACTCTTAGCCAATCAAAATCGAGGATCATCTGCGCATTTTTGTGCAGTAGCTAGGTTCAATTACAGGATCTGATCTACCGCTACAGTATCTTATAAAATGTATTGTATTTTCATGTGATTTAAAAGATCAAGTCCAGGACTGTTTTTTTAAATTCTAGAACTAGATTCGCAATTTAATATTTTTATTCATGATTTGAATGAATATATAGTATATTAGAATCCATTAGTGTATTTTTAATATTATCTGAAATACTATCTGCAATATTTGCAATACTGCAATTATATAATTTATTTAAACAACTATTAAACTTATTACTGTAGATTAAGTTTTAATTAATAATTAAAATATTTTCTATTGTCATAATTCTATAAATTTGATAAATTATTTTTTTAAATTATAATAGTTTTATAATTCTCTGAAGCTGAAGGTCTTTTTTTTTTTATCATTATCTCAACATTTTTTTAAAAATTCTGCATAATGTAGTGGTATACTTTCAAGAATAGTTGGTCTTAACCTTTTACAAATTTTTATAACTAATTCTAATTTATTATACTTATTATATTTACTTTATAAAAACATAAACTTTTCCTAAAAAAATTTCTTACAAAATCATTCCAAAAAAATAAATATCTGATGCTTTAGTAAATAATTTTTTACATAAAGTCTCAGAGGCTAAGTATTGCATAATTTCATAAATTTTTTCTAATTTTGCATTATATAAATTATATTGTAAAATATTTTTACTATATAAATTACAATGAATTATATCATATAAATGAATCAATTTAAGATTTAATACAATATAAGATATTAAATCTAACTTTTTACAATGCCTAGAGTTGTAGTTATAATTCCATAGTAGCAGTTGCAACTTTTGTTATAATTATTATAGTTTTTGTCATAATACTGTAAGTAGTAACTTATTTGCTATCACGTATAACCAAAACTAGACAATTCACTGGCAAAGCAGAAAAAACTTAGAGAATTTTAGAAAAAAAGCGAAGTTACTTAAGAAACCTCAAACAGAAGATTAGTTCTCAGTAATATATATAAAAAACAGCATTAAATATATAGACTAATTAGTCAATAAGAAGATATAGAATAGAGAAAAGATGATGAGAATAACTAAGAAAATAGCTGAGGAATATGGTAAAGAAATTTTAGCTGAAGCAAGCAAGTCATTAATAGGATTTGAAGAACATGTAGACAAGATAGTAGCAGAAATAATAGGGGTAAAAAATGAAGTAGTTACAGCAGCAAGAGAATGGAGAAAAGTAATTAGAAGAGCAGCAATACATGAAGGGATCGAGAAAGTAGAATATATTCTAAAACAAGAAAGCAATGAGACAAATATTTATTCTAACGAACAAGAACTAGAAATAAATAAAATGAGTATAAAATCAACAAACATAGAGGAATCACCTAGAGTAGAGCTTATAGAAGTAAAAATGACCTCAGTTAAGACTCAATGTGAAACAAAAGCAATAACTATAACTAGAAACATAGCAAAGAATATAGAAGGAATTAAAACAACTCAAAAAAACGTATTAGATCTAACAAAATCACTAGACAATAGTATATAGGTATCAAGAGAAGAAAGATGTAAAAATATAAAAGAAATCAAAGCAAAAGTTTCAGCAGCAAATGTATTAGGAGATAATGCAGAACACTAAGTAAAATCACTAAAATAGGCACTAAGAGAAAACGCTCATATCAAAAAAATTTATAAGGAGTTTTCTAAGGGAAACCTATAGTGTGTACTAATTTTTAACTATGAAAAAGGTTTTGAAGATACGCAAAAAAGATTAGCAGAAAGAAAAGAAGAATACGAACAGTTCAAATTAATAAAGGAAGAGAAGAATTCAGAAGCAAATCACTTAAGTATAACAGAAATTAACAACCAAAACAGAAAAGAAAACAAGAGAGGTAAAAGTAACTCTGAGCAATCAGTTAAGAAGATAAGTCTTTCAAAATCAAAAGTGATACCCAAAGAAGAAAGAAAAGAGAATCATACTACGTACGAAGAAATAAGAAAAAGAGAAGAGCAAACAAGACTTGAATTAGAAAAGCAAGCAAGATCAGAACTAGAAGACATATATATATACAGAAGTAGAAATAAAAATGCTAATATTTATAAAAGCAAAAGTGATGAATCGCCTACTAGAAGGCAAGTAAACTTCTTTGAAGAAGTCAAAAATGATTTAAACAAGATTACTATATAGGACTTATTGAATAGAACGAAGAGATCTCAAATCTTTGAAATGGTATAACATATAGGAAGAATTGAACATATTGAAATAATAAGAAGTTCTATGAGTAGAACCAGGGCTGTAGTAGAATTCAAAGAAAATATATACAACAAAAGACTTCTAGATAAGACATAGTGTCTGCCTTTCAGTAATCACTTACTTGTAATATTAACAGCAAGAGTCGACAAACATGATATGCTATATACAAGAAACAGATTCAATACAAGACTTCTTAATCTACCAGAAAACACAAATGAAATCTTTCTATGGAGACAAGTTAGAAGATCGAGTGCGAAAGCATTACATATCTTCAAAAACACGAACGATAACAGAATAAGAAGTGCAACAGTATACTTTGAATCAGAAGAGGACCTAACAAAAAGTTCAAAGTTTGCAATATATTACAATAATGTTAAGCTAAGATAGGCAAATTGTGAGGCAGACAATACTAAAAGAGTATTTAGCAAAGCATATAATAAACAAGAAACTACATAAGTAAGAAGTAATAAAAGCTTAGGAAAAAGAAAAGAATCAGAATTAGACCCTAAAGTAGAGTGCTCTAAATACATACAAAATATGATATATAATAGAGAGAGTAACAGATACGAGTCAAAGAGTATACCAGAGAGAGAAGCCTCAGAAGCACTATGAAATTAGAGAGATACAGTTAGTAATGAATTAAGCAATAGTGAAGAAATAACAGACAACATATCAGAAAATCATGTACCCTTAAAAAGAAGCAGAAGAAACATCAGAACAGTGCTCAAAAATCAAGATCATTAAGAAGATCAAGAATCTTCCTTAAAATATATATTGCAACAGCTTCAATACTTAGAAGAGGAACTTGTTAATATAAAGAGAATAGAAGCAAATTGCTCCTAATAGTAGCACCAGTTGAATTAAAGAAATCCTAGCACGAACAAGAAGGAAAACTTGCTTAACAGCATAGGAAAAATTTAGTCAATGATCAAACCAAATCAGACTTTAGAATAGTAAAAGTAGCTACACACAATATTAATAGACTGAAAGCTAATAGTCATAAATTAGATTTAGTAATAAAATAGGTAGTAGATAATTATATAGACATATTAGGAATTAATGAAACAAATATCACAGAGTGATAAGGCAAATTTATACTCAAAAATAGAAATGACTATATAGGATTTTGGACTAGAACACGTGAAGATAAATTAAAAGGCTCTGAAGTAGGTTTAATAGTTAGTAAAATATAGAAAAAGCATATAGGACAGATGACAAGATATAGTAACTACTATACTAATATACTAATATTATTTAAAAAGTAAAAATTACTAGTAATTTGTGTATATATCCTACTAAACGATAAAGAAGAAAAGAAGAAAATCTAACAGCAAGTAATCAGAAAGATTAGAGATTGTGAAAGAAACAATATTAGAGTTATCATCATGGGTGACTTCAATGATATCAGATTCAAAAACTTAGATCAAAACAACAATACCTCAAGTAGAAAACAGTCTCTCCCACTCCTAAAATGGTTAGAAAACTCAAGCCTTAAAGACGTATTCAGAGTAATGTACTCATACAAAAAAGAGATCATATGGACGAACAAGATAGCTAGTACAAGAATAGACTACATCTGGACTTCAAGCAGATTATGTCAGTGTATTTTGAAATGTGAGATAGCAG